GTTTCTCCGCCCTCATCCTGCGAACCCATGGGTGCCTCGGCCCAAAATGTGAACCTATTAGTATTTTCTTAATCTGAAATCTCACAGTCCTTGATTATAAATCTAGCACAATAAATGATTTAATTTGAGCTACCAAAAAGAATCAATTCCAAAGTTTTTTTGGGTCAGACTGTCCGTGGTTGTATAATATAAGAAATAAATTTTGAAAACAAATATAAATAATGCAATAACACGTTTTGTTTTACTCTCCAATTACAATGAAACTTCTTTTTTTGAGACAAACTACTAAAAAAATCAATTCCAAAGGTTTTCAGGTCATACGGGTGCTTGTTGTACTCCCTCCATCCAAAAATACTTGTCATCAAAATGGATAAAAAGAGATGCATCTCGAACTAAAATACGTCTAGATACACCCCTTTTTATCCATTTTGATGACAAGTATTTCCGAACGGAGGGGGTATAAGATTGAATATATATATATAACTGGAATGGAACTTTTTTTTGACTCTCCAAGTAAAATGGAACGTTTTTTTTAGACAAACTACAATGAAACTTGGTATGATAAGACTGAAAACTGCTCAAAAATCCAATGTTGGTTCCGACTCGGCGAGACACGGTCCAGCCCAAGCTGTTTGAGAAGCATAAGCCCAGCTCAGCCCAAATGCATCCGCGAGAAAGACCTACGTCTCCGTCTCCTCCCTCCGCCGCCGTCTCACTACCATAGTCCACCACGGATCCAGATTCCAGAGCTCGCTGCCGGCCGGCGACCATGGCGGCGGCCGCTAGTGCAGCAGCATCCCCTCCTCCCCACCATGGCATCCCAGATGAGATCTTCATCTGGGAGATCCTCGTCCGCCTGCCCCCCAAATCCCTCCTCCGCTGCCGCGCCGTTTGCCGCGCCTGGCGCCACGCCACCTCTGCCCGCGACTTCCTCCTGTCCCACCATGGCCGTCAGCCCCACCTCCCCCTCCTCCACTGCTACAACTTTGTCGGTGACAAACTTGACTCCCTGGACATCATCCCCTTCGACCACCGGGCAGGGGTCGCCGCCGCCGACCAGCTCCAGTCCGTCGCACGACTTGGACACTCCTTCTTCCGTCCGTTGGCCGCCTGCGACGGCCTCGTCGTCCTCACCGAGAACTACGCCCGCTTCTCCATTTGCAACCCGGCAACTCGTCAGTATGCTCCACTCCCTCTGCCTTCTGACTTCATTTTCTTGGGGATTTACCCGCACGGCCCTACTGGCGAGTACCGGCTATTGCTGGGACCGGAAGCTCAAGATGGCTGCTATGTCTACACATTAGGCTCTGGCCAGCCCCCGAGGCACATAGACATAGACTGCCCCGATGTGGAGGAAGAGGAACTGGTATACCCCTCCGGATCTGTCCTGTTCCATGGTAGCCTGCATTTGTGCATAGGCAACATGATAATTGCATTCAACACCACCGCTGAGTCGTTCCGTCAGATGCGCGCTCCAGTTGATCCTTGGGGTGCTGACCTGTTTGAGATGGATGGAATGCTCGGAATGTCCATCTACAATGACGCGTCGACATCCATTGATATATGGAGGATGCAGGACTACGGAAGCGAGGTCTGGGCCTTGAAATACCGGGTTGAATTGCCGGCTGCAGAGTTTGGAAATTTTAGCAAACATTGGTGGGTGGTGGTCGTGCCTTCAGACGGTGATGTGTTTGTGCTAGTCAAATTTGATGACCGGCTACTTCAGGTTGATGTCGATGGCAAGCTGGTTGCCAATTTCGAATGCAGAGGCCTCGGTCCTACTCGATTTCGGCTCAAACAAACTCTAGTTTCGCATACATTCTTTCCAACACTAGAGGGTTATGTTGTGAACGATTCACAAGTGTTTTATCCACGCCTTTCAACTGAGGGCAGTTGAGTGTGGTGGTGCTACTTGACATCCTAGCTCTACGTATCTACAAGAGCTGCAGTGCATATAACTGAATCCGCTATGAGCCTGCTAGCTTCTTTGTTCATGTATAAATAGTTATGATGAAGAAGCTTTGACTGTTACATCCTGTGTTATGTTTTGTTGAATATCCTTTTGGGCAGCAGTGTCTGCCGTGAGTGTTGATGCTAAAATTACAAGTCATTTGCAGTGCTGTAAATGTTTACCAATTTTTTTTCTTCGAGAAAACGCAAAAGCCTTGCGTTTCTTTTCATTGAAAAAGGGGGAGGTTCAGTTACAGACATCTGAGGATGTGTGGATTACAGCAGGTGGATTAATGCACATCCCAGGTTTGGGGCAGCACAAGTCGGAGACCAGGTGCCCCAGCTGCCGCCCATGAGTGGGCCTCGTCCTGAATGCTATCTAAGAGCATGTTAAGGGAGGGAGTCGTATTGTTGAAGACGCAGCTGTTCCTGTGTTTCCAGACCATCCAAGGCACGAGCAGCGCGACAGATTTCAGGGCCTTGCAAAGGATCGGCGGCGTGTCTTCCTTGGCATGGTTCCACCAATCCGTAAGCGACAGTTCCTGTGTTGGGATCCAGGCCAGGGTCTCGTGCCATGCCTGTCGGGCTAGGGGGCATTCCAGCAGCAGATGTCGCATCGTCTCCGGTTGCTGGTCACATAGGAGGCAGCGTGGATGATACTGGAGACCGTGGCGCGCCAGCCTCTCTGCCGTCCAGCAGCGGTCCTGGTTGGCTAACCAGTGGAAGAACTTGACCCGCGGCGGCGCCCAACACTTCCAGATTAGCTTCCAGGAATGACAGCTCGTTGATCCATGGAAGGTGGCCGTGTAGCAGGACTGCGCGGAGTAGATGCCACTCGCCGTCCATCTCCAGATCAACCTGTCCGGTGTGGTGGAGAGCTCAGTGCACTGCATGATCTGCCAGAGCTGCAGATACTGACCAATCTCGTGGAGGCCGAGGTTGCCTTGGATGTCGCGTGCCCAGGAGTTGCCATTGAGTCCGTCCGCCACGGTTCTCGTCTTCCGTCGTCGCTTGGGGATGCAGCCGTAGAGGTTGGGCATGAGCTCGCGCACGGATTGGCCACCTATCCATCGGTCCTCCCAGAGCAGGGCGGTCTGCCCGTTCCCCATGAGCGTGAACGTGGATGCCCAGAACAGGGCGCGTTCCGTGGGCGAGAATTGAAGGTCCAACCCCTGCCATGCTCGCTCCGGGTCCGTTCTGGAGAACCATAACCAGCGTAGTCGCAGGGCGAGAGCGGCGCGCTCGAGGTCTCGCACGCCCAGGCCCCCAAGCTCGATGGGGCGGCAAATTCTGTTCCAGTTCACGTGGCAGTGTCCGCCATTGGCAGCGGCGCGTCCAGCCCAAAGAAAACCACGCTGAATCTTCTCGATCTGCTTGAGAGTGTTTTTGGGGGGCGCGAACGCAAGCAGTTGGTGCACTGGGATGGCACTCAAGACCGACTTAACCAGCGCGAGGCGCCCGGTTTTAGTCATCAGCCAGGCCTTCCAGGTCGGTAGGCGCGCTGCAACCGCATCAACCATGGGTTGTAGCTGGGCGGCAGATGGGCGGCGCGTGGACATGGGGATGCCGAGGTAGGTGATGGGGAGAGTCGGCACCGGGCAGCCGAGGTGCGCGATCATCGCTGTGGCTGCTTGGTCGCCGTGCAGGATGGTGGCGGAGCTCTTGGTGAAGTTCACCTTCAGGCCGGAGGCCCTGCCGAACAAGGCGAGGATCTCCCTGATCGCAGTGGTGTCATCCGCCGTGGCGTGGCAGAAGACCATGACGTCGTCGGCGTAGAGGGAGATCGCCGAGATGTGGCGCTGTGGGTGTAGCGGCTGCAGGATGCCCAGGCAGTGAGCGCGTCGTAGGAGCCATCCCAGGGTGTCGACCGCGAGCACGAAGAGCTGCGGGGACATGGAGTCGCCCTGCCGGAGCCCTTGCCGGTGCCATATGGGTGGGCCGGGCTCGCCGTTCAGGAGGATGCGTGTGCTCGCAGAAGACAGGAGGATGGCCGTCCACTCCAAGAATCTGTTCCCAAATCCATACTGGCGTAGAACCTCAAAGAGGAATGGCCATGACAGGGAATCAAAGGCGCGCGTGAGGTCGAGCTTGAGCATGACTCTCGGAGCTCCCAATTGGTGCAGCAGCTTGAGTGACTGCTTGACAAGGACGTAGTTGTCGTGCAAGCTCCTTCCCGAGATGAAAGCATTTTGGTTGCGGCTAACCAGGTTGTCCAGCTTGGCACCGAGGCGGATCGAGAGCACCTTGGCGAAGATTTTGGCCACAAGGTGAATCAGGCAGATCGGCCGGTAGTCGCGCAGCCCATGGGTGTCGACTTTCTTTGGCAGCAGCGCCAGCAATGCTTGGTTCAGCTTGTAGAACCCCCTTCCTCGCAGGTCATAAAGTTGCTGGAACACGTCAAGGAAATCCTGCCTGATGGTAGTCCAGCATGCGCGTAGGAATTCTGCTGTGAACCCGTCTGGGCCTGGCGCCTTGCGGGCGGGGAGGCGCTTGACAGCCTCCCAAATCTCCTCGGCGCTGAACGGCGCATCGAGATCGGCGAGGTCGGTCGGCTCAATGAGCTGTGACAGGTCCAGCGAGTGCTCCCGGGCGGTCGCCGTGCCCAGCAGGGTCTCGAAATGGGCGAAGGCCGCCTCGGCCATGTCAGAGTGGTCCGTGATCACCGTGTCTTCCACGGCCAGGCTGTAGATGTGGTTCTTCTGCCGACGGAATGAGCATTGCCGGTGGAAGAAACTGGTGCTGGCGTCGCCGTCCTTGAGGTTGGCTATGCGAGAGCGTTGCCAGGCGATCGTGCGCTCCATGGATGCGAGCCCAAGGTAGGATATCTTGAGCTGCTTGCGGAGCCAGGCCTCGGGTGGCGAGAGGTTGCGCGATTCCTGGGCTTGGTCGAAGCGCGAGATGAGCTCCCGGGATATCGCCAGCTTGGCCTTGATGTTGCCTGTAGACCTGGAACTTCAGCTAGTGAGGCTAGCCGCCGTTGCCTGTAGCCGGAGCATGAGCCGGTGGAAGGGATCGACGTGATGTGTAGAGCCCCAGGCTGCGGTCACCACGTCCCGGAATCCGTCCAAGCGTAGCCAGTATTCCTCAAAATGGAACCTCCGGTGTGAGGTGGGCATGGGCGAGCAATCCAGCAGCAACGGGGCGTGGTCCGACACCACAGCCGTAAGACATCGAAGGTGGCATCCGCTGTGCGTGTCCTCCCAATCAGCGGTGCAAAGAACACGGTCGAGCTGCACAAGCATCGGCGGTGTTTGCTCGTTGGACCATGTGTAGCGCCGCCCGTTGAGGTAGATCTCCTTGAGCGCGAGGTCATTTGTGAGACGGCGGAATTTGCCCATCATGCGCCGGTTGACGGTGCCCGCGTTTTTGTCGTCGTCGCGGAGGATAAGATTGAAGTCGCCGCAAACCATCCACAGGCCTGGGCAGGCGGCTCGGATGTCGCGAAGCTCCTGCAGGAATGCAACCTTGTCTGCATCTTCCTGGGGTCCGTATACCACCGTTAGCCACCAAGGAGGGCCAGTGACCGTGGTCACCTTAGTAGTGATCGCATTGGTGGTGAACATTGGGTCCATGATGGTCATGGCCCTGCTCTTCCACGCCAGCAAGATGCCGCCCCGCGTGCCATCGGCTGGGAGGTACGTGTAGTCATCGAACTCGGAACCAAGCGCATCAAGGACAATAGTCGAGTAGATCAACTCCATTTTCGTTTCTTGAATGCAAACAATGGAGGCCCCGGTGGTGTCCAGCAGCGACCGGATAGCATGTCGCCGAGCCCGCGCGTTCATGCCGCGCACATTCCAGATAGCGATCTTAAGGCCGTGATCCATGGGAACGGGATCGACGGGCGGGCGCGCATATACTGGTCTAGCCTTCACATGCAACGTCGACGCTGCCGGTCACAGCCGATGCCATGCAGACTGGGATCTCGCGGTCAACCAGTGTGGCAATGGCCTTGAGTACCGTCAGGGGTAGCGGTGCCGCGAACATGCCGTCATAGGCTTTCATCTCAGCGGCAGTGATCTTCTGATCGATCCCTATGATTCCAAGGGTGCGCAGGATTTGCACGTGGGCGCGCCGCTCCGCCGTGGGAGGGGCGCTCGGTTGGCAAGTCGTAGCTGCAGATCGTCCACGGCGAGGGGCGAAGTTGAGGGGCCGGCAGGGCGGCGTTGAGGTGTTTCGTGGCGGTGGCCAGAAACTCTCCAAGGGTCCATGGCTGTGGCGTAGTGCGGCTTCGGGATCGCCGCAGCGTAATTGGAGGTGATGCGAAGCGGCTCGACGTGCGGCCACTTGGGCCTTGGTTTGTCGCGGCCCCAGCGTTTGGGAGTAGCTGGTCTTCGGTGGGCAGCAGGAGGGGAGGTGTGGGCGTGGGCCTCTGCAGAATCGCAATCGGGCCTGCTGGGCCGCGGGCCGGCCGCGCGGCAGCAGGTGGAGACGGCCCAGCAGCAAGGGCGGGAGGGTTGGCGCCGAGAGTGGGCGTTTCCCCGCCCGAGGCATCGCGAGAGGGATTGGTGGCGGCGGACTGGTCAGCGGAATCCAGACCCACCTCTGGCTCGGATGGGGCGGTATCTCCACTTTGTCCCGACCGGGGCGCTGCAGATCTCTCCTGCGAGGCGACAGACGCGCAACAACCATGGGCCAGATCCCAACAGGCCGGTGCGTCAGGGGGGCCGGTCTATGCCCCACAGGATCGTCATTGGGATCGTTGCCAGCCACCAGATTTGAACTCGCGGCCGGTTGTGGGTCGACACGCGGCCCGACCGGGCCCAGCTGGGCGTCTGTGGCGACCGCGTCAGTGCAGCCAGACGGGCCCTCTGCAGACTGCTCCTTTTGCTTTCCTCTGCCTTTTCCTCTTCTGGCGTGGTGATGCTGGCGGTAGCCCCCTCGTTGTCCAGGCCAGGGCATCATGCCCGTACGCAGCGGATTCGCGGACGGCGCCGCGCCGGAGTC